CCAAGGCTGAACTGAACAGTTACCTGGTCTTTCTAGGAGACCACTTCGAGTCTAGGCAGTCATCAGATGTTCCAAAGTCTTTGAATCTAACCAGTGGCCTACCAGAAAATGTAGGACTCCCCAAAAGAGACCCAGCATGCTTTAAAGGCTACTCAAGTTACTCGGAGGCAACAAGAGAGCCCTGAAGATGTTCCAGAATGGAGCTGGGGCTGCAGCTCAGCACTAGAGCACTAGCCCAGCATGCACAAGGTCCTGGGTTCAATTCCCAGCACGACACATATATACACACAGAGACGTTAAAAGTGACAGGCAGGGTAGGAATTCAATCAGCATGCAAACTTCCCTAGACATGGCTATGAGACAGTGGCCAAAAAAGAATGGCAGAGCCTCTCCTGACAAGAAGAAAGAGGGGCCACCTTTCCTAAGGTGGCTTCTATTACCAACATCTTCACATTCATGAAATGTAGTTTTAAATGCAAACACTGGAGCTGGGGATGTAGCTCAGTGGTAAAGTATTGCTTAGCAAGTTTCAATCCCCAAAACTGCTCACAAGAAAAGAAAACACCAAACTCGAGTTCCCTGCAACCCCACCGCAGGAATCTATAAGACTCATGAAGGCATTCAAACTAAACTGTTCAAAAGACTGCTCATGGTCAATTCAAAAGCGATGATGAAAAGCCTATTTCTTCTGCTTCTTTAAAAAAATGTTTTGGGTATTTACGAACTTGGTCAGTAAGTATTAACTAATATTTTCTCATTAGAGAAAAACAGAATCTTCATTTTCTTTTTTTTTTTTTTAAAGAGAGAGTGAAAGAGGAGAGAGAGAGAGAAAGATAATTTTTAATATTTATTTTCTAGTTCTCGGCGGACACAACATCTTTGTTGGTATGTGGTGCTGAGGATCGAACCCAGGCCGCACGCATGCCAGGCGAGCGCGCTACCGCTTGAGCCACATCCCCAGCCCTAGAATCTTCATTTTCTAAAAATTTTTTATCCTCACAGTTTCCCTATCCTGGCCTCCACCCTCACCCCCCMAAAAAAACAGTTCACCTGGTTTTTTTGTAGACTACCTTATAGTTCAGGCACTATAAAGATCAAATCTCTGAGGTGGCTTTGTATCTTCACTTTACTCTCCTAAATTATACAATTCTAGGCCCCAAGTTGCTTCTGTAGAAGCACAAACTCCTCTCCAGGTGTCTACACACCTCTTGGGCTCTTACTGGGGACCAGGGACCCTCACCAAGGGCAGTAAGATGAGTGTTCCATAGCACAAGGGTTTTGCTTAGCTGGAAGACCTGGGGGAGGCAGGGCGGGGTGAACGGCTCCACTCTCCAAATCCCCACTCCAATGTGCAGCCTGCCAAACTGCACACAGACATGACAGGGGATTGTAAAAATGCACCACAGACAATGTAGCTAATGTACCAGGATCCCCTGCAAAGGAGCTCAAGGGCTAGCCAGGAAGGGACCAGGGATATCAGAATCTGGACCAAGCACCCTGAAAGGATCTACCTTTTTTTTTTTTTTTTTTTTAATTCCCCCACATTGATCTACTGACTGTTTATCCTCTTCTCCCAAAGGAAAGAGAGGGAGGACAAGGAAAAAGAAAGATTGGACTCTGGCTGTATCCCGAGAATAGGCTGTAAGCAATTCAGGCAGAATTTCTTTACACAATGGATGAGAGAACTATGGACCAGGCTGCCAAAATCAGCAGCACTAGCAAGTCCTGTGTATTCAGCTCGAGAGGAGCCTGGACACATTTCAGAAAGCAGAGAATCCAAAGATGGAGACGCTGACTCTTGTCCTGGGTTGACAATCATAAAATACAAGTTAATTTGTGTTTCACCAGAAAGTGGAAGGGCCGTCACCAGGCTTTTCAAGCACATTTTCCAAAATTTCAAAATTTAATAATAAAGAATAGTTTTATATATATATATATATATATATATATATATATATAATCTCCTATGGAATCATGGTATTTTTCCTCCTTTTAAATGGGTCTTAGAGATGTCTAAGAGATTAGAGATTACCTAGATAAGAAATCCACTCCCAGAAAAATCAAACAAATGGCCTCAGAGCATTCTGCTAATTAGTGGCAGAGTCAGGACTGAAGCCCAACTTTCCACACTCCTAGGATAGTTCAAAACACATTCAAAGAATCAATGAGTTTCTCTGAATTCCAGGGTTTTCCCTTCCCTGGACTCTTTCCTAAGGGTATCTAGGACCCTTGGACAAAGTCAAATCCAAGAAAGTGTTTGCCTTGTTCAGCTGGGTGGTATAAACAAAAGTGAAAATGCTTCTCAGAGCTCGCTTCATTTAGAAATGCGGGAGAGGGGTTGCTATGCTGCTCAGTTGATCTAGACAATAGCTACAACTTTTGTCCTGTAAATTAAACTGTATGCCATCCTTCGAATGTTTTCTTTGGGCCTTTTCATCTCTTCTTTGCTTGGAAATTACAGAGGGGTCAAGAATGACTTTTGTCCAGGAAGGATCACAAATATAGCTCTAGGAGAGGGGGTTTGCTGGAGGGCAGGGGGAAGGATATGGGACAGGGGAATGGAASAAAATAGAAAAGAGAGTAATAACACCTTTAACTCTTTGAAATGCCCATAGGACAATTCATCATTGTGAGGAAAATATCAGAGGCAGACAATGGACTGCATGTGAGTTTGTGAGTCTGTGAGTTTGTGAGATGTTGTAAGGGGGTACTTTACAAAACTCAAGTCAGGGGTGCAGAGACTGGGAAGCATTTGATCCCTTTGCATAATTCGACTTATGAAATACTAAAATGTAATATTGTAATGAGAGCTAAGCATTAAAAGGTCTTTTTAAACCTTAGATATAGATACTGATCTCAGAAGGCTGGCTCTGGGTACCCCAGCTCTACCACAACTCTGCTTGGGGACTAACCCCGAGGCCCAGTCAGGAGCCTCACCACAGTTCATGTAGTTCATTGTAAAGGGGAATAACAAGGTAAATGTCACAAAGCAAGAATGACATCATTGGAGTCTTGTTTCTCTGTTTCTTGGTCTGATTTTTTTAAAGCATATTGTTAAAAAGGTAGTTTTAAATGAACTTCAACCTAGACACTCACTAGGTATTTGTTGAATAAATGAAAGAAGTGCTTAAATCCAGAATCTTTACTTATAAACTTCCACTGTTAGGTATTTGAGGAGTTTAGAAATACCAAACTGCAGTTTATTCTTTTTTTTCTATACATAAGTTAGTGTATTTTTWAAAATGTTTTAAAGAACTAAACAAAACCACAAGTTATTTCCAAAACAACAAAAAAAGCACATATTTTTCAAATATTTCTCTAATGGATGAGCTAATGCAACTATTTCAAAAGTAAAGCAAAACAGGACTGAAATAAAACAAATTATATTCCATGCATGTATGATCATGTCAAAATGAACTCCACTATGATGTATAACTATAATGCATTAATAAAAGCATTGTTAACAAGTGAGGAAAACCTGAATGAAAACTAATTAAGGGTACAATTTAATATATTTTAGATGCACAATCTTGCTCTGTTTTTTCTAGATTAAAACCTGGCCACTCTTGCTCTTTCAGTGTCTTATATAGACAAAAATCATTGAAGCCATGAAAACATGATAACATTCTAAAGAAACTGAATCATTGTTATCATATAGATATATATGTATTATATATGTTTTAAAGCTTTTGCATCATCTTCTAGGAACATCTTAGATTAAATCAATGTACACAAACATGAAATGGCATCTCACTGAAGAAGGACTAGGAGGAAACAGGCCAGTAACACTATAGTACCTAAAACAAAACGTAGCAGAGGTACTGACTCTGATTTTTCTGTGCCCCCACCCACCCCTTCCCACTCCAAGAATGTCAAGAATTTGAACTCCCAGATCCTAAGGTGAAAGGGCATTAACTCAAATCTGCTCATGAAGAAAAGAAAGTGGCAAACCCTGGGACTTGGAACTCTACAATAAAATCTCCCAAGTTTAACGCAGCGATCCATGATCATTTCACTTAGTGCTTCAAAGGTAATCGGAAACAACATTCAGACTTTGGTCATTAATCAGGAGCCAGTGAGATCTCCATTTGCATCTCAGTGATTCTCTACTCCTTTATTTCAACATTTAGCTTTAGGTTTAAAATATTTGCTAAGAAAGCAGAGAGGCGATTAACAGAGATATTTAAATGTGTGCCATAGTTACACATTCTGTCGACAGAGAAAAAGGAAACTATACAGCGTCAGTTACAAAATGGTTATTTCAGTTTTCCCAAACATCCCAATAAACCCTCCACTGTGGTGTTATTCAGTTCAACAGTAGAAAAGCAAATCAGAAATGAACTAAGAGCAGCCGAGCTAGCTTACATGCAGTGGCTGCCACTTTTACCTGCGAATCTCAGCTGGAAACCTTCCCACTTCTCCTTGAGATTATCAGTTAGGTACACCAGGAGAGCAGGCAGAGAAACTGCAGCTCACTAGGGGACCCCAGAAGTTGTTCCAGCTGCAGGGCAAATTCATCTGGGCTCCAGCAAAATTCCAAATACTCCCAGCTTCCCAAAGGAATAGGTGTTGCCCATCTGGGGTCAGTATTGTCTCCCAGTGAACATGTGATCATGTCTGGGTTAAAGACTCCTTATTCTTAAATTAGCAAGAGCTACCAGTTTCTCTAAGAGCTTGGCCACCACTTTGATACGATGTCATTTTGGTTTTTTWAAATATTTTAACTTTATTGTTATTTTTATAGCATTATTAACAGACTGTTTAAAGACAGTGATCACTAACACGGGACATGACAGTCAGCCAGGCTTCTCTCAGGATGTGGCCTGTCCCGTTCGGGAGGCTGACATGCAAGCGGGTAGCTCATACACTGCCACCCTTGTAGCTCAGGCCGCAGGAGGAATGAGTGAGGAGACAGATACTGCTGTACCCTTAGAAGCTATTTAATAAATATCATCCAAAAAACAAAAAGGAAAAAAGAAACCCTCCAGAGCACAACCACCTTAGGTCAACTGAATGTAATCTAGTTTATTCAACCAAAAATTGAGAGAGAAGAAAAATATTTAAAACCGAAAAAGGAAAAAAAAAAAGTAGTTCTTAACACTAGCAGTAAATAAATTTATACAACAATTTAGTCTGTATAATATGATGAAATAAATCTACATCTTTTCTTATTTTGGTGCTTTGAATTATACATACAAACAACAATTACAGAGACTTGTTCACAAAGCATGTAGGCCTAGAAATGACACTCTGAAACCCTCGATGGCAATTTGTGACTTTAACAGCAATTGCCCAGAACTGGTATTTCCTTTGCAGAGGCCCACAGCTTTGAACAAATGATTTGCCTACAACTTTTTTTTTCTTTTTTTTTAATATATATTTTTCTTTTTTTTTTAATTTTCTTTTTTTTTTCTTTTTCTTTTAATGCATCAAACAACTGTGGCCAGTGAAAGGAAACAAAACTGGCAGTTTGTCCATTTAGATATCGGACCTAGTTTCTTCTGAATTTCCATACTTTATTTTTTCCCCATACTCCTTAAAAATCTTGGCGTCCTTCATGCCTTTCTTACAGCTACCCAGGTGCAATAAAGTCTTCCTCAAATGTACAGTATTTCTTACAATATAAGTTATATGCAATGTTCAGCAATTTTTCACAGCACTAGAGACCCTGTTAAATAGGGAATATGAGTCTGAATGGCTTATTCACAAATGGGATCCAGATTCAGTGGTTGGAACACAGACACCACAGTGAGCTCCTTTGCAAAAGTGGCAAACATCATTTTGCTTTCTGCCTTCAAAAACATATATATCCATCACTTTTAGGCTTCATGATACTGCTCCTGCAAAAACGCAAGTAGAAGGGGGGTTGAAGGGACTCTCTCTCGCTTGGAGACCTGTGCACATCAAGCAGGGCTCTAACCCATGGCGGTGACCATACTGGAAGGATGGTGAGGTCCGAAGGAGAGACCGGAAGGCGGGTGCATCGGCGTGGGCGTGGTCAGCATGTGGCTGGAGTGGCTGAAAGGGGAGATGTGGCTCAGGGAGGACATGTGTCTGGAGAGGGCAGCCGGGTTGAAGGAGCTGGTCTTGGGGAAGTCCTCCAGCGTGTCATGCACCTTTTTGCACTTTTTGGATTTGCTAGACATTTTTCGGTTTCTGGTCTGGATGCCTTCCTTCTTCATAGTCAGGGGTCTGTTAATCTAAACAAAGATCAATTTTTTTTTTTTTTTTTACTTTTTTGCTGCCTTTGAAAYGGCACACGCTTTCGCACAAGGACACAGGTTCCACTGGCTGCCAGTCAGGGGATCTGTTTCAGTTTGGRGTCCTTTTCAGGGACCCAAAGCAGGGGAAGGGCTCCTAACTATCAGCTCCTATGGCTCTCAGAGACCAGAGACCACAGGAGAGGTTCTCCAAGCACTGCTTATCAATTAAAATCATCAATATAAATAATTTGGAAGAAATTTTTCCTCCAGGAACTATGCATGTCCAGGGGCTCACCTAGTAGAATTCTATTTCTTTGGTAAAAGAAATAGAATATAATTGGTCTTATTTCTCCAGAGTTTCTTAGATTAAGGGCTGAGGCTGTAGCTCGCTGGTAGAGTGTACACACACACAGCTCTGGGTTCTATCCCCAGTTACTYCTCCCTGGTACTGACTGTCCACTTCTGACTAGACAAACAGCTAAGCAAACAATCAACAAGTCTTTAATATCCACCTATGGAATCCAAGGCACTCCATTAGCACAAAGGTGCGCTCATCTAAAAACGACAGACCAAGAACAAACCAGAGTAAAGAGACCACGGCAAGACTCTACTCTAAGGATCCCTAAGTGTCACTCTCCACAACAGCCTACCCACCCTTGCTTGCTGAAAAACCTTAATTGTTGGCTTTGGGGGCCCAGAATCAAGATGGGTTACTGTATGAGGCAAAACCCCCGAGAGTCAGCATCAGGAAGATCCCAACAGCACAAGAGCCAGCTACACATCTGGACAAGTTCCCCGGGAAATGTGACAAAGAAACTCAAGGACTGTCAGGGAGGATGCCCCATCTGCCAGTGTGGAGACAGAGGTTCTCCACCTTCAGGATCTAGTACCTATCTGCTACCGAAGCTAGAAAATGACAGTTAAGGAAGAGAGGATCCAACTGGACAAGAGGGATCAATCCGCTTGGCACAGCAAACATGCAGCTCCCTGGAGCTAGCAGAAGTCACCTGAAAGGGGGATGGAGCCCTCTGAGGCCTTATTTCCCCACCCCTGTGCCAGGACAGGCAGAGTGAGTGAAGGCAGAAGAGCCAAGAAAGGTCATAGCCAGAAAAATGTTTCAGGGTTCCTTCTTCAAGTTATCATCAAGATAAAGATGCAGCCTACAGAGATGACAGGAATCTACTCCCACATCAAATCTCCACGTCTAGAGATAACGTCTAGATACACTGCTCTGTATCTAGATACACATAGCCAGGTATCTGAATATAATATCTAGTTACCAGATGGCCACACAGCCTCAGATAACTAGTCCCAACACCACTGAGATATGCTGAGATAGGCAGTTATCTAAATACCCAGATAAGGAGGAGGCCACTCGTGGCATAGTATGTAGATATCTGCATGGGCAGAACAAAAAGCTCTGCGATGAAATGGTAATAGATTATTATCTCTGCTAAATACCCATACATCACCTCCTTCGATGAATCCCTAAGAAACTAGAGAAGACATAAAAATACATACCTGTGGATGAGGAAATGTCTTTCTCCCCCACTGGTGCCCAGCAATAAAGACAGAGCCAATTAAGAATAAGTAGCAGGGGCCGGGGGTATAGCTCAGTGGTGGTGCCTAGCACTCACAAAGCCCTGGATTCCTTCCAGGGTACATACAAACAGGGTAGCAGTAAGYAGTGAAGAAGTGTCCTTGGATTTTCTTTATTTGGAAAATTAAGTGGGTTAGGGGTATAGCTCAGTGGTAGAACACTTGCCTAGCATGCTTGAGACCCACCACAGCTAGAAAAAAATTAGTATTTTTCAGAAATACACATACACACACACATGCATATCATATATAGATACATATGGGCTACAAGTGAGATTAATAGCTCATCATGACTAATTATCAAAGTTTATAATTTCCCATAATTCCTATACTTGCATGGAAATAGGAAAAGAACAGATGTAGGCACACAATTCATGAGAATTCTGTTATATTTGAGAATAAGAGAGCGTTGGCTTTCCAAGGCTCTCCTATCGATCCTCATGCCACCACCTCCCAGAAAGGCCTTCTGATGCCCTGAAATCTGCCAGGATCCTCTCTGCTTCAGTCATTTTACCTTGCTCAAGCCACTTGCTTTACTGAGTCATAACCTCTTCAAGTAAAACTGAAATAAAAAGAATTTCTGCCCTGTCTACATCACAGGACTATTTGAGGCTCAAATGTACTCAAGAAACATGAAAGTTCTTGAAAAGTCATAAGTGACAACTCAAAAAATGACTTCACAGGTTGTGCAAATGACTAAATCGCTAATAAACACTAATGCCCCAAATTTGCCAGATTTTTATCACAAATCTTTCTGTCTCCACTGCACTGACTAAGTAAATTCCCCAAAGTGAAACCAGAACTTGGGTTTAATTGTTGATAAACGTATATATGCCAACAGCCTCAGCGTCAGAGGGAGAATAGCAGATCACCTGTAGCAGGCAAGACTCTAGTCCGTTAGTAGTGGGCACTACCTGGAGACATGTCAAGAGACAATGTGACATCGAAAGCAGGGAGAGGACTTTATAGGGCACCCTGGGAATCTGAGCAACTTGTTCCCCAAAATTGAAAAAAGGATAGGGTACCCTGAGAAATTCTCTGTGATTCAAAACAGTCTAACTAGAAAAGCTTCCGCCCCAATTGCCGGGTATTCCTGGATAAAATGAATTTGCTGCCAGAACAGCCCCAAGCAAAAATTCCCACCTCTTCCCAGTTCAGTCTAGCAAAGAGACTTTAGGAGAATCAGAAAAAGCCAAAGAGGGGAAAGAGAGAGACAGCACCATGACATTTTTTTCTTTAAAATCATTGAAAATTTAGGCCTGACTGAGCATGGTGGCATATGCCTGTAATCCCAGCATCTCGGGAGGCTGAGACAGGAGGATCAGGAGTTCAAARCCAGCCTCAGCAATGGCAAGAAGCTAAGTAACTCAGTGAGACTCTCTCTCTAAATAAAATACAAAATAGGGCTAAAAAAAAAAAAAAAAAAAAAAGGCCTCATTTGGGTCATGGCCTGTCAACCAGTGTTATTTCAGGACAAAAAAAAAAAAAAAACCTGAAAAAGGGCTAGGGTTATGGCTTGGTGATAGAGAGCTCAACTGGCACACATAAGTAAATGTACTGTGTCTATCTATAACTAAAGAAAAAAAAACCTGAAAAAAATTAAGGTAAAGATATTACAAAATGGGAGGATCCTAAATTAAAAGATTAGAAAAGCTAAACCCAAGCCACTAGCAGTTATCATTTTGATAATATGATATAAGAAGGAGAAAAAAAAAACATTTTCTTTTCCTGGTGTGACAACCTCATGGAGCACTGGGCTCAGGAGTTCTCTGCATGGGAAAGCTGTTTGGGACAAAGACATCAGACGAAATCTCACAGACGATTTCACTGCGTGTCGTTTATACAGAGAACCCATTTGAAATTCACAGCACAGGTTTAGCCAAGACTTTTTACCCTTCAGTAACTGAAGCAGTCTTCTTAGTTTCAGGAGTTGCTGTGCTACGCATTACAATTCTATTTACCTTTCTCTTTCACTCTCTCCCTTAGGCACACCCGCGTCTTCTCTTTTTGCAAAAAGTTTAAAATGCAAGGAAACATCAAAATAGAACTGGTGACTCCTTGTGTTTTCTAAGGAGAATATTTTTCCCCCTAAAAATTCAGACAAGCCCACAAAGCATATCAGATTGCTGCATCACATATAGTGTATTCAATAATACTAAGCGGGTTTGTGCTGTTGTCTGTCTTTAAAACCTTTCCATCTCAGCAAGGCTACGACAAAGTCATTTTTTTATTATCCTTTTTTTGGTTCCAGGAATTGAACCCAGGGGTGCTCCACCACTGAGTTATGCCCTCAGCCCTTTTTTTTTTTTTTTTTTTAAGCAGGGTCTCACTAAGTTGTCCAAGTTGGCCCTGAACTTGCGATCCTCCTGCCTTAGCCTCTGTAGTTGCTGGGATTACAGGTATGCGCCACTGCACACAGCAACAAAATCATCGGGTCCTACTATATCAATTATCTGAGGCCCATTACTTGACCCAAAGAACAGTAACACAAATCTATCATGGGGTCTGCCTGGGACAGTGGTGATGCTGTCATCAGACATTGCCAGAGGGAGCCTGTTCCTGTTGGTCCAGTTCCACTTACATTGTGCAGCTTATAGTAGAGTCCACAGGCATTGCAGACAGGGTCTCCATTGGCATTTCTCCTCCAGAGAGTGGTTGTGGTGGTCTGACAGTTTGCACAGGATGTCCCTGCTCTCCTTGCTGCCGACTGRGGGTGGGGAAAGAGGAGTGGGTAAAATCAAAACAAATGTTAAACGTGTTGTCAGAAGTACTACTGAGACAAGCTTGARAAAAAAAAAAAAAGTCAGACATTATCATTGAAATCAAAACTAGCAAGTGGCCCACATGAAAGTTATAAAGATCCCCAAATCTGCCTCGAGAAGAAAAATAAAGCCAATCCACTGGATAAGAGAGTCTGGGACTTATAGTAACATGAATTTTCCTGCTGTTCTCCAGCATGTTCTCCCTGAGAACAACATCCCCTTCCTCTACCCCCCCCACAAAACACATCTTTAAGGGAAGCAATTTTGAGTTAGCAACTATTTTGGCACCAGGCTTTCAATGCTCCTAGTCACCAAGCCCAGACCCACAAGAGGTCTTTCTCAAGCACAACTCCCACACATTAGTCCTCAAATAGGCGACTAGCCATCTAGGACACACGAACAGTAAAAGGAAGAGCAAACCCAAGCATTTGACAGATCCTAAATCAAGAAATGCTAGATTGCAGAGGAAGAGAACAGAATGCAAACAGCACCCAGGAAACTCATTCCCCAAGAGGATAACTGTGTACGTGTGTGGCAGGCCCCTGTGGGCATCACGACTGAAGTCAACATGTTCATGTGTAATTCTACATAAGCAACACTTTGGGACCTGGTCACCTGCCACTCCTAAGACAACCGCCCTCAACCTCTTTAGGTGGCCATCATTTATTGAGACAAAATGAAAAGAACGAACAAGTAATTTTGCTATTCAGTAGGAACCCTGGACCCCTCTCTTGCTCTCATGACAACTTCATAAAATTTATTGTTCACCCAGAAACGTGGCAGGTTACATGGCAACCTGAACTTGAATTTTAATTCTTTGCTTACATTGCTACCTTCATTTTCCAGAACATGCAGCTTCTTTCACTTTTTTTTCTTCTTTTTTTGTGGCACAGGGAATTGAACCCAGGGGTGCTCTACCAGTGAGCTACATCCCCAGCACCCCTCCCTCTGCCTTTTTTTTTTTATTGCAGATGAACACAAAACCTTTATTTTATTTATTTATTTTTTATGTGGTGCTTAGGATCGAACCCAGTGCCTCACTTGTGCTATATGAGCTCTCTACCATTGAGCTATAGCYTCAACTCCTCCAGCCCTTTTTATTTTATTTTAGACAGGGTCTCACTAAGTTGCCCAGGCTGGCTTTGAACTTGTGATTCTCCTGCCTTAGATTCTCAAGTTGCTGAGATTACAGGCATGCACCATGGAGCCCAGCTTCTTTCACTTTCGGATGCATTTAAACTTATCAGGTGACTATTTTCTATGTCCACACTTTCTTTTTAAAAAATTAAGCTATTAAAACTATTGAAAAAAATACGAACTTGGGTCACTTCTAAAATATTCCTCTCCTTCTCCTCACCTCCCATAATGAAAACAAAACTGCACTGCAAAACTATTCCTGCTCCTAGACTCAATATTATTAAAGAAAAGGCAAGAGAAGGAGGAAGAATACATTTACTCTTTATCTGTGATCAAGGAAATTCTGATATGGAGACTCAAGCTGTAGCTCAAGGGTAGAGCACTTATTTAGCATGCACAAAGCCCCAGGTTGAATACCCAGCTCGAAAAAGGAAAGAACGAGAGAAAAAGAAGGAAAACTCTGCTATGGTTTTAAAGAACATGGAATGAAATCTACAGAGATCTCGATGCTCTTTTCTACATTGTCCTCCCTGTGGAACAGAGACTCACACGTGTTAGGCAAGTAAGTGTTCTACCAAAGAAATATATCCCAGCCCTTTCCTTTTTTTTTTTTTTTTTTTTTAATAAATATATGTTATTTTGGGACTATCTCCCCAGGCTGCCCAGGCTGGCCTCAAATTTTCAATCCTCCTGTCTCACCTCTCAGTTCCTGGGATTAACAAGCCTGTACTACCACGCCTGGCTTCTATCAATATTTTATCAAGCAAAAAGTTAGGCAAAGCACAGGAAGCGGCCAGATATGGAAAACCCAGTGGCAATTTTGAATTAACCAGACTAATTCTTTTCCTTTCAAAGCCACTAAATTGTTCCTCAGATATGTTCCTATGGGCTTTAAATAACAGAGCTCTGACTTTTTTTTTTTCTTTAATTATTCTTTCTTTTTTGTAGTCTAAGAAAYTGGAAATTAAAAACAGCCCTTCTCTATCAAAGCGGAGAAAGCGCTACTTTTTTGCCGTCCATTTTGAACATAATTCATCAAGGTCCAAGAAGGCTGATTTTTAATTCCACATGCCTATGCCCACCTGCTTTTATGACATGTGCTAATTTAATAAATAACTATTTCATTTGTGTACTCTTGGGAAGAAAGTCCTATGTGAAACTAGTGCTTAATGATTTTTGACAAGTATGTTACATGCRATCATTATCATCGTCTTATATTTTTTCTTCTTTAAAAGAAATAGTCAGATAACCCAGACTGCCCAGCCAGACAACTGTGAATTTATAATACAAACACATAATGCCAACTGGGAAATCACAGTTTCAAACAACAAAGTTCAGTATGCAATATTTGGCAGGATATAGAAAATAACACAAATATAAGCAGGCTCAGGGTACTTCTCTAATTCTACAGACTTCATGCAAACCTAGAGAGTTTCTCAAAGCCACACTGTTTGGTTTGCTAGCAGAAGCAGAGTATATTAATAAAGCAGGCTTCTCAGCTTTTTGCTACTTGTGAGACATGAAAACATCAGGAAGGAGAAAAAAAATCTATGGATCTTCACTTCAGTTATTTCTTCTATTTTCTGCATTAGTTTATTCGGTATATTAGATATGCATCTCACGGAATAGCTAGCTACATTATGGGCTGGGTGGTCTTCAGTGAATCTGCCAATGTGTGAAGGAACAGGAAATATAGGAAAGAAGAAACTGAAAGGTTCTGGGCAGGGGTAGCGAACATGCTCAGCACATGCTTTACCAGTGGTACAAGCACTTAGCATGTATAAGATCCCAGCTTCCATCCCCAGCTCCAAAGATTAAAAAAGAAAATAAAAGGTTCTAAGTATACAAAAGCCAAATACATCAAAAAGCGCAAAAACAAACCAACAAAAATTCTGAATGTCTTCTGAATGTCTCCCTATACTATATGAATTCTATGGAACTAGAAATATCAAACAACCCTGGGCAGATGATGAAGATAGAAAAGACAGCTTAAAATGTGACAACCAATGAACTCTAAAATTAAAAACAATTATTACTCAGAGTTCTATAGATTTCCTATGAAAGGTGAGTAAAGACCAAATTATGAAAAATGGAAGTAGACCCCCCTCCTCTGCAATCTTTGCAGACAGAAGAAAATGTCGAATAAACTTTTTTGCTCATCAGCAGCCTCTAGTAGGAGACCTTTTCACCTTTTTCCTTCTTTACCTTGAACCAACAAACAAACAAACAAAAAAAACCCTATAAAACCATGCCTTATATTAACAAGAGGGTTTTTGTTAGTTTTCGTTTTCTTTCTCTCTCTCTCTCTCTCTCTGTCTCTCTCTCTTCCACTAAGGCCAGGTTTTGAGTGATTCAGAACATTCTTTTGTGGTGTGATCACATTCATTCTGTGCTAACACCTCCAGCCATTTTTTTTCAAACACTTCTTGTTCTGATCCGTCCAAACATCTTGATGTTTAGGTTGGGGAAGCTGAGTTGTTGTTTATGAGTTATCTCTAGTGCTCRGATATCCGGCAGCTTTTTCCTAGGAAGTTAGCTTTGCACATGAGAGCAAGGGGAAAAAAAATACCAAACTGCATGAAGAGAAGCCGGGGGAGGTTGAGAAAGTAGGAGATGGGGGCAAAGATCAGAAAGAATAAAGCCTAGAGACCTGAGCCTGCCAAAAATTGAAGTTGTGGGCGCTTCCATCCCTAGAAAGCTTTTCCTTTTCCTAAAGGGGACGTGAAAGGTGTTCTACAATCTGATGGRAGGACGAATAATGCTTTAAAAAAAAGACACAGAGGGTTTTTGCTGCTGCTGTTGTTTTGTTTGGGTTTTTGTAGGGTTTTGTTTGCTTGTTTGTCCCTTAGAATTTGATGGATGCCAATTCATCCATTAATCTGCATTGGGAAATCCCTTCCTTCCTTCTCCACTTGGTGAATTTCAGCACCATAAAAAGCATTTTGATCTCTTGAGTGTGGTTAGTTGGCATCTGCCAAGTCTGCTTTTACTTGTCTCTGTTACATATACTCTCTATTCAATATAAGGTTCCAAAGGCAAGCTTACAAACAAACCCCTCCTGGAAGTTTTCATAAATGCTTGACAGTATCAGGTTTTCTTCAGTAATACTAATAATCAAGAAGTTAAAAACAAAGTAAAAAAAAAAAAAAAGGGGGGGGTGGGGGAGGGGTCGTCATCACCCTATTGATAGTTGTTCAAAGAGAAAACAACACCAAATGCTAGTTGAGACCAAGAGGCAAGACAGGAATCACAAAACTTTTCCCACAGGAATTACCTGAGGAAAAATCCTCAATTTCTAAGACCAAGAAGGGAGACAAAAGTATAATAAGCTCAATGTCTGTTGCTTCTGAAATTCAGCTAATTGGCCCCCTCAACCTTAAAGCAAGAGCACAAGAGATTCACCCACAGCACCCAGTCTGTGATTACTTCCCGAGAGYTCTCCTTCTACTACTTCAGGAGCATGTTCTGGATGATTTCTGGAATAGCCTATCCTCAGATTCAATTTTTCTGTCTGTGACCTGGTGATTTCCTATGCATTTTTAAATCAGTTCTCCGGGTGCTGTTTAACACAAGTATCCTATTGGGGAATACATTTCAGATTCGATAACTCAGAAGTCAATATCCTGGAAACAGGTGACTTTAAAAACATGGTGGGAAAAATATATATAGAATTTTTCTCTACATCTAATTTGTTTTTTTTTTTAAATTTATTTTATTTATTTATTTAAAAAAGAGAGTAAGGAGAGAGAGAGAGAGAGAGAGAGAGAATTTTAATATTTTATTTCTTAGTTTTTGGAGGACACAACATCTTTGTTGGTATGTGGTGCTGAGGATCGAACCCAGGCCGCACGCATGCCAGATGGGCGTGCTACCACTTGAGCCACATCCCCAGCCCTCTATATCTAATTTGGAAAAAAAAAAAAAAAGAAAACTGTCCTAAGCAAGCTGACATGACTTTGAGCTATCCTAACCAAATTCCTGTAGAAAGTTCCCCTTCCTAGAGAGAAGAAATGGAAAACATAAAATGGTTTAGTGTGGGATTTGTCCTTCCAGGGAGAACTCACCAGCCTTCGTTTGGGCTTGATAAGGGGCCGGTTCTGTCCATTCATTTTGTGGTAGAGCCCACAGGCGTTGCAAAGGTAGTGACCGGTGCCATCTCGCCGCCACAGTGGGGTGGAGGTAGCCCCACAATTCACACACTCCCTGCCTTCTGAAAACAAGATCACAGATAAGTCACTTATGGAAGGAAAACACACAGAAAGGCAGACAACATTCAGAATTAGGAGGAAAAAGTGAAACTGAAAACTTTTTCTTTCTTCCCCTTCTTTTGGGGAAGAATTCCCACCCCCATCTCCTTCTAAGTGCTCCAAAGTGGCCCAGATTTACTGCCCTCTGTTGATGGCATAACCATTCCCTGTGCTCAAACAGATCATGTCCAAAGAAATGGCAGATGAATAAATAGCCACAGAACCTTGTCCTTGGCCTGCTCGACCTGATGGGGAAGATCAGGTAGGAAAAAGAAGGAAGGCAGATTTCAACTCTAAATACTTCCCTGAGAAAATTCTGAGCCCTGGACTGTGGCAAAAGCAAAGCATTTCATTCATTTTCCTCAAAGGAAAACAAAGGTGACCATTATCATCAGTAGGTCTGTCTATGTAGATTGATTAAATAATGAAGATTAGAATAGGGAAAAAGGAAAGATTAATCAATGGCTAGATAGATGAGCAGATAATAAATAGATGTATAGATTGATCAATTGGATAACTTATTAGAGAGCTGKGGCTTTAGATTTTACCTCCAATAAAATTGTAAATGTCCCTGGTTGCAAAGTAATAGATTAAGACCCAACAAGGTCCATTCATTTCTCATTCTCTTTTTTTCTCCCTAGTAAATGCCAAGATTTTTCTCAGCTTTCCAGTCACTATTACAGGAATTGAAGTTGAACTATGGCCCTAGCCCAGCCAGCTAGGSTTGCTAGAGGGAAACACGGTTCAAACTTAAGGTAAGGAATCTAGAAGAGGGGGAAGTGGGGAGAAGGGCAGAAAAAAAAAGGTTGTAAGAGACAGAATGAGGATCAAATGCAGATTTGGAGTTAGCCCAGGAGTGGGTGCCCCTTGGTCAGCTCACTATCCAAGGCTTACCTGCAGTTTCTCTTTCTCCAAAAACACAAACAAACAAGAAAACTCAGCCAGGCCAGGTTGATCCAGGGGCATTCATTCCCAGGTCCTTCAAACTCACCCTCTACGAACAAAGTTCTGTGGGACACTCCCTTAAATTACCATTGTAAGACCTAGGAGAGTTTGCTGATTTCTTTTCAACTGTACAGGAGGAAAAGGAGGATACTTTCTAAGAGTATCTCCTTCACTTTTAGGGGGCCAAGGGATGGCCCATAGTGAYAAGTTTTTTTAGTACCCAGGAGGGAGCTGGGACCTGAATTTCCTGCAGGAACAAGCAGCTCAACTCAAGTGGGTCCCACAGAGTTAGGCCCAGGTGCTGGGAGAGACACATGCAGGGTGGGCAGGAGAGAAAGATGAGCCCTTAAGATTGCTTTGTCTTGAGAAATTCATCAGTTAATGCCAGCCTACCAAGAAGAAGACTGAAGTTGGAGAAGAAATCCAGACAGGCACTTAGGAATTTTGACTCCCCTAAAAGGAGGAAAAATCTGCCTTGGCAGCCCTGGGATCTACTGGGCCTTTGGAAACCCCCAGATCAAGAACAAGGGAACTATGGGTGGGTGTTCACACCTGGAGGCCTGCAGTGTTCTCCAGGGACAAATCTGCAGAAAAATTAAAAATTTGGGCAAAAGAAAGTGAATCTGGTCCCCTTTTCTGTTGGTCAGGGATGATGCAAGTAGTTTTTGTCTTATTTGTACTTTCAATAAATCTTTGAGCAGTTTCTTTTTTTCTCTCTCTCTTTTGCTCTAGATTCCAAAAAAGGTTCTTAATCTGGGATCTACAGAGAGCCCTCTCTGTGTCCAGGAGCACCTGTGATTATACACAAAAACCTTGCACTGGAGGCCAAAGGCACTTTTCTAGGTACTCAACAGCTCCTCTCAGTCTTGTAAGAAGGCTTTGGAGTGCCTCACACCCAGGTACCTTTCATTTGGATCATGAGCCTGGGGGAGGTGGCAGACTAGATGTGGGGGAGGTGTGAAGGAAAGAGGAAAGGGCGAGTGGGCGAGGAGGTGCCAGCAGCCCTGGCCAGGAGGCTGCAGGCCCTGCTGCTTCCGTGTCCCAAGTGAGGCTGGGTCAGCCCCTTTCTGGGGTCAGGGCTGGGCTGCCAGGCCCACTCCCTATGATGTCCAGACAGGGGCCACTTAGGGACTCTAGGCAGAAGGGCAGAGCTAGGAGGTTGGGGGAGGGGGGGTCCAGGCTTCCTGCACCAGCAGGGGGGCTGGGCTCCRGTAGGGTAGTTGCTGAGGTGAGCTATGTGGTCCGCTGCCCTGCTCCTAGGCACCCCGGCACTGGTGGAGGGTGGGGGAGTTGGAGGGGTCTCCTGGCCTGACATGACCAGTCTGATTTCCTTTCCTTTGTCAGGCAGGAGGGAGGATGACAGCTTCCTTTTCAGAAGGCCCTTGAAAGCAAGCAACGGTTGCTCTGCTCTTCGGCAGGGCTCTGCACACTAGAGCAATTTTCTGTCTTGATTCACTCGGCAAGTTTGTGATTGCCTCGTGAGGGCTTTTCTTTTTTCTTTTTTTCCTTGTTGCCTCTAGTCTGTGACTTCAGCACACAGCCAATTTTCCTAATGGAGGCCCTGACTGTCTCCTGCTTTCTGTCTTCCCCTTTCCTCGCCCCCTGCCTATAGTGAGCTGCTCGGGCAGACACCTCTTTCTTAGGTGACAAGAACCACAGAACTGTGAGGCCTCTTGACATTCAACAGCCATTTTCAAACACCCCTTGGGCTTCGGACTGAAACTGGGCTGTGAAGCTGGTAGGAAGAGGGCAGGAGATTTTTCAGAGGAAGGTGGAGATGCCCACGGTCAAAAGGTGTTTGGGGAAGCTGAGAAATGGTCCTCTGCAAAGAGGCTTTRTCTTTTGTTTGCAAAGACATATCCAAGGACTGAAAGCCCAGGCGTTAAGAAAGCAATAGGTGCCTAACCACAGCTTCAACCGTTTTTTTTTTTCCAAAATGCAGCAAACAACCCTGACAACTCTCTCTTTGCCTCCTCATTCAGTGAATGCTTTTGCAAAGAAGAGGAAAAGAGAGAAGAGGGAAGAAGGAAGAAAACACTAAACCCAAGAGAATTCCCTCCTCCAGAATTCCCACCAGTCCACCCTCTGCACACAGAGGGCTTCTGGAAACTTCCCCTCCACACTCCAAAAGTCCCAGCTCCTTCGCTGGCCAGGTGCACCATTCTTGGTTTCTGTGTCTGTGAGAAAGGAATAAGGAGGAAGTAAAGACCCAAATTGCAATGGCCTCCTCTCCCCTTCACTGAAAAAATAAAATAGCTATGCAGGTATCCCTAGGTTTGGTAGAGGGAAACTCCAGCTCTTTTTTTTTTTTTTTTTTTTTCCTCTTCCACACTCACAACCTTAAGGAATGAAATGACAGAAAGGAACGGAGCAAACTGAAGACAGAAAGTGTGCACAGTCGAAGGGGTGGAAATCAAACACAGAAACGAGGGCAAAGAAACCAGAGTCTTTTGGAAAAGTCACTCTGTCCCCCTCCCCCAACAAACCACCGCACCAGCCTCAGAGACCACGATCTTCCCCCAACCTCACAGCCCTACCAGTAAAAAGAACTTTTWWWAAAAAAAAATCCCATTACAACCTCAAAATACACAGACTTGCTGTCCAGCCCCTTGTTCTGAGCAAAGCTGTAACCCCATTTCTCCCCAGCCCTCCACTTAAACCCCCAAGCCTGGAGGGCCACTATGCTCTGCGACTCTCCCTAACTCTTGCTTTCTTTTTGACTCCCCAGCTAGCCAACCTCCCTCTCTCYCCTGCCTACTTTCATGTACTGAACATGCAGGTCTGAGTTTTTCTGTCAGCCTAACCGCATCCGGACTCTATTAAAGTTCCTGGCTCGGGATAAACAATGCAACTGTCGCGTGCAGCAGTCTGAAAATAATTGGATTAGCTAAAACATATCAACTAAATAGAGACAGTCCTGCTCAGGCAGTCGGAGTGAATGTCACCCTGGAAAAAAACCCTGAAAACTGATCTCATAGTCACTGGGCTCCCAGAACCTCCCTCTGAAGTTTTCCAAACCAGAGCCTGGGGAGCACCCATTTGGAGACTGCTCATCTCACCCTTACATGACAAGTGATTTTCACCACCGCTATATATATATATATATATATATATATATATATATATATATAATATAATCTGTACAGATAGACAGCAGTGGCAAAGACAGTTAGAGCAGACCACAGGATAGATGCCCACCCTGAAATGAACACTCCTTTGGAGACATGACAATCATCTCGAAATCATGTCTAAAAGAATCCCTGTCTCTGTTTTGACTAAACTGCTTCAATTAGATACAGAATTGGTGATGGATGATTTTATTCTCAAAGCGCAAATCTGTTTCTACGTGTGCTGCTCCTGTTTTTGTTTTAAYGCAAGCGACTACACCAATAGACTAACTATGCAGCATGCTTCTAAACAGGGTTTGATTTTTGGAAAGAGAATAAGCAGTGTTAGCGGATACACAGACACCTGGAGAATCTTTTTTCGCCTTTTTTTTTTTTTTAACTTTCTCTGGCTTCTGATCAACAGAGGAATATGTCCTGAGACAGCTTCCTGCCCCTGCCCACATTGAGAGTTCTAAGCCACCTTACAGGTAACTAACTGGGCCACTGGACATTTAATTTTCATTCAACTCTACTTCCCCAAAGGGAAGCCACCTCCAGCTCCTAGAAGTTGGTTCTAGAGTCCCTTTTCCAGCAAAGGTATATTCGCTGCTTTTGCCAGGTTCCTGCCTCCTCCCCAAAACATATCTTTCTATCTATCTCTCCTCTTTCCTCCACCCCTCCCCCACATTTATTTATACATGTCCCTATAAAGGACTGTCCTCTGCTATAGACAGAATGACCCCCTTTGAGTTGAGCACAGAGTAACAATCAGACTGACAGAGGCCAAAGGGGTCATAGGAGGGACCTGTGTTTGTTTAGGTTTGAGGAGGTTTCGTTTTAGCATTAAACACTAAAGATTTATTTTCCCCGACCTTCCATTTGGTCTTRGAAACCGGCTAAAGGTTACCGCAGAATCCAGAAGTCCCTAGACTGGCAGCACAGGGCACTACTTTGTTTTTGTTTGCTTTTTCTTTTCCCATCTCACTGGGGGGTTTTAAATCAGATCCCACTTCCCCTACTTTCCAAGACAAGAGATAGGAGGACACACCTCATTCTTCTCATTCTTCTGGAAGAATGGGAATAAAGGTGATCGTCTCAGAAGGGCTAGGAGCACCCCCAGCTCCCCTGAGGGGCCCCTTTGGTGGTCTCTTGCCTGGCTCTGGATTTAGGAAAGGGAAGCAGTTAGAGGCGGAAACAAGAGAAAGGAATTCTAAGGCAGAGGTGGCTCCTACCTGTGCTGGATCTCGCCTTGGGCCTCGACTTACATCCGAAGCCAGTGGGGGAGCCCCCCAGCAGGCTGCTTGGGGGGAAGAGTCCGGAGCTGTACTCGGGCACGTAGGGCGGGTAGGTGGTGATCGGATGGTGGGCCGACGAGGAGGCCCCTCCCAGGGTGGTCATGCTGCCGCGGGAGTGCGACGCCTCCAGTTTCATGCTGTCGGGCAGYGGCACCTGGTACTTGAGGCACTCTTTCTCGTCCTGCCGGGCCGAGCCAGCTGAGCCAGGGGTGGAGAGGGACGGGTCCGGGGAGACATCCTTCGGCGGAGTAGGCGGAAAGGTGAAAAGGTGCGGGCTGGAATGACCCGCCGCCAGGGAAGAGGACGAGGCCGGCGGGTAGACGGAAAGTGGCCCAGGGGAGCCGTGGTGGATGGACGTCTTGGAAAAGGGGCTGAGGTTCCAGGGTGAAGCAGTGTGGTGGCTGCCCAGGGCTTTGCCGCCGTCCAGCCAGGGCAGGGATCCGTGCAGCAGAGGCGGGCGGCACACCTGGCTCCCTACGCAGTGGTGGGAAAGGGACAGAAGGGAGAAATGCCTATGAGTGTGGCTCTCAGACACACGTGGGGACTATCCCCATGGAACCCCAGGCTCCCAGTTGAAACTCCCAACATCTACCCGGAGCTGGGTTCAGGCCTACTCTCTAAGCYCTGTGGTCCCAGGAGGACCTGACCAACATGCCTTGGGTGCAGGAAGACTCCCCTCTCTCCCACACCCATATCTCATCAAATTCGGCAGAACTAAGGGCTCAGTGCCTGACTGATGCYTGGAAGGAATGGAGCAAGGTCCCTTGGCTTATTTGGCCTCTCTAGGTACACTGTCTAAATCACATTCCCTGAGGCCCCTCTCTAGAACCTGACTAGATTTATTGGCTTCTTTCAATGGCTGGGATTCCCCAATCCCAGACTTAATCCCGGTCAGCCTGATAAGAGAGTCAGCTGTGAATGATGAGCCTGAAGGATAGAGCCTGGTCACACCACTCCTCGACACCAAGAGAAACCCTGGACCCTAAACAGAGGCCCAGTCCCCATGCGGCATGCAGGGAAAAGGCTTAGGGAAGAAGACAGGGATGTTTTAGGGCTATCTCCAAAAACTCCAATGCAGCACTTGCTCAGAATTGGCAAGGCTGCTTCCAATGGGTCTGAAATGGGATTTGCAAGGAAATTTTCATTGCTCAAGSTGTTGAAAGTTTCCAAGGCTGGACCCTGGGATGGCAGTTTTTTCTGCTTTTCTCAACCTCCCAAATCCTATAGAAGAAGAAACTAAAACAAGCCTCATATACCCTCAAAGCTGTGATTCCACCAGTGCAGTATCTGGATTTTCACCTGAGCCCCCAAGACACAAAATTCCAGTTTATGTGTATTTTAAACTAAGGATGACTCATACACAGAGYATATTTAGCTTTCATTTAAAATATACAATTCTAAGGTAGCCATAACTTATATAAGCACACACTCTCCAAGAGGGAAACATTTAAACTGCTAGTGCAAATCCACACACTTATTGATCTTTTAATACAGGACCTGCCTCACCATTTGACATTATTCTCAACCATTAAGAACAATACTGAAACTAAAATCTTGAGAGGAAAGGGAGGGGAGTCTAGGGGCACAGAGTTCTCTGAACACTAAGGGTTAAGATTCACATTATGCAGGAAGTAGTATAGTAAATAACATTAAGTCTGCATGTACCGCATTTCCATTTAACTGCTGATCTGCACAGAACATGGGCAAAGAGCGCCCCATCCGCAGAAATGATTGTTTAAAACCTGGTGGCGGCAGGGCAGAGGACGCCTGCTGCCGGAGGGGCTATGTCAACGGCGCCAAAGCCCGCTCTGAGTAGGGGGACTAAGGCCGACCCGTCTGGCTCAACTGAGAAAGCCTCATGTTTTCTCACCCTGAATTTTTGCTCCTATTTATTCTTTAGGAATAAACTTACAGCTGGAAAGTTTTAGAGCTTTCTTCCCCTCACTACCCTGGGCTGGACCTGTTTTTCAGAACTCTCCCAAACTTCTCAAGGKGAAAAGGGGGGAGGGAGACAACTGGAATTCTTCCTACTTAAAAAGAAACCCTGTTGGATCCTAAATTTCCTGTAGGAGCCTAAGGGGACTACTGTAGGCCGCAGGAGAGAATGAGGCCAACGTTGCAGGCAATGAGGCAACCTGAAAGCAAAGACGCAGGAAAATTCTGTGCAGCCGGGAATCTAGAATCCCTCACATCAAGGCAGTAGTTTTTCCCCCTAGACTGGTGAAGCACCAGAATGCCGTTTCCTAAGCCACGAGTGGGAAGATATGCCTAAAAACCAAATGCAATAACTTTGGGGAAAGCTTAAAAAAGAGAGGAGTGGGAATAAGTACGTCTCTTGGGCCTTTATCAAAATGTGCCCCGAGAAACACATTGAGGGTCGCTGGCAGAAGCRCCCCTTAGGAGACCTACTAGATAACAGGGAAGCCCTGTGAAAAGACTCGAGTTCCTRGCCGGTCTGGCTAGCGCTGGCTGACCCGCCCCGGGATCCTTGCTCGGCGGGAAGGAAGCAGAGCCTCGGCATCCCGCGCCTGGGACCGAGGGCCCCCTAACCTGCAGCCGCTGGGGGAGAGAGCTGCAACTCGGCGCCCGCCAGGTGAGCGCTAGGCCCAAGGGACACCAGCTAGGAGAGACGCCTGCTGCTACCCTTTTTTAAAACACACTTTCACAACCAGTGAAACGGCTTCCTCGCCCATTTCCGGGCCCCAATTTTCTTTCTCTCTTTTTCTTCTCTTTCTTTCTTTTTTTTTTTTTTCCTCTTTTTTCTTTTTTGAAAAATGCACCAGTAACGGCACTTAGGGGCTTCTGCTCAGTCCCCCTCCTCCCGACCAAAGCGGCACGGCTGGAGAGGGTTCCAGCACTCCAAGCGGACTCACCGTGGTGGGTCGGAGGGTACCTCTGCACCGTGGCCCTGACTGAGTTTCCGTAGTAGGACGGGACGTGGTTCCCTTGACCGTCGATGTTAAAAAGTACATCCACCTCCTCGGGCAGGGGGTACTGCGCTGGATCCATGTAGGAGTGGCCGAGGCCAGGGTGGTGCGTGTCCGGGTGCTGTCCGTTGAGGACCGCGGGGTGGTGGTGGCTCACCCAGCGCGGCTGGTCCGCGGTCACCTCCATGTCCTCGGCTGCGCTCGCGCCCTCTCGCCGGGCCCGGAACCCGCGCGCGAAGAGGGAGGGCGGTCGGCCTGGGAGGTCCGCGGACTCCTGCTGTCCGAGAGCTGGAGAGTCGTTTAATGGTTGGTTTCAATGGGAGAATGGGAAGACTGGGAAGGAAAGGTGAGCAAATGAGAGGGTTGGGGGGCGGGGAAAATCTTTGAAAGATAGTGTGGCAAAAAGGAAAAGAAAAAACGATCCAAAAACTTGGTACGGCCGGATAAAAGGGGGCYGAATTGTAAGAGGAGGGGCACGGAYGCTGGAATTCTGCAAGTGAGGCTCCTCTGCACCGGGGTTCCTCAGCGCTCAGTTTTTCCTCAGGTCACCTGCAAGGGAGAAAAGAGGAGACCCGCGTGAGTCGGTAAATATTTTAGCACCTGAATTTCTGAAGGGTACTAGATCCCCACGGCAGGCCGACGCACCCGGGACACGTACACGCTCGCGGGGACACAGCTGGAAGGAAGCAAGGCTCCCAAGGACATCCCCAGCTGCCAGGTTCKCTGGAGCCCCGAACTGACTGGTTACAATTTGGAGGACAAGTCCCTCCCTTGGGGACAGCGGTCCCGAGAACTTCTTTCCAGCCACACGAAACCCTCCCAGAAAGGAGAGCTGAATTTTAATTTTTTAAAAAGTCCTCCCAAGTGGATGGTAGTAAATCAAACTTAAAAAAAAAAAAGTTACAGTACCAACCTGGGTAGCAGGAGCAGAGAGGAGGAGGAGGAGGAGGCGTGTGACCTGCTCGGTCAGATTGCGTAGTTCGCTCTGTCTCGCTCTCTCTCCGTCCCTCTCTTTCCTCTCCCTCTCCCTCTCTCTCTCTCTATTTTTTTTTTTTTTTTTTTTTTTACAGGGAATGCATTCTTTCTGAAAGTATCAAGACGGCGCCAGGCAGCTCAGTGTTCGCAGACAGCTGTGGCGCGACGCAACTTAAGGAGGTTCTAGTGTCATCCGCGCCGAGGGGAGGAGCCTGGCGCTGGCGAGGAGGGGACAGGATCCCCAGCACAAGGAAACTGCAACCCAAACCTGCTCCAGGACTTCACCCCCACCCCTCGCACACCGCCGCCCCTCCTCCCACCCTGCACTGACCGGAAAGGGGCGCCAAGGAGGGCTGCCTCGGGCGGAGGGGCTGCAGGCAGGGTGGGCGAGGCCGGCCGGGATTTGTGGCGGAGGGGGCGGGCAGAGGAGATTTYGCTCTCTGGCCCTTTAAATGTAGCTTCAGCTCCTACCGGCTCGGTAGATTATTCCGACCCGTTGAAACCCGCCTGCTCCATTCATAAAGTTAATTTCGACTTTTCTTTTTCAGACTTTTTTTTTCATGGACAACTTTATTATTCAGTATAGTGTATTTCTGAGAATTTATCAATTTGGAGCTATGTGCACGTAAAACCGATCAGGGAAAATAATGTTTAAGGTGAACGTACTTTTAAGATTTGCTTCTTGGGTCAATTTCCTAAGAGACTGAGGAATCAAGTAAAGGGAATATGGATTTGATTGAACGTGTTACTTTTGTTGTCATTGTCACTGTACTTCCCGGCCTTTTGCTTTCACAAGCCTCTCCAATGAAAATGCTTCAGCTGTTGTAGCTGTCCTTTCCAGACCCAATATTTGTAATCGATGTGTGCTTCTGCCTAAGTGACAATAATGATGGGTGAAAAAGGGGGGTGGTTGGTCCTCCAAGAACAGTTCGAGTAGACAAAACTCTTAGCTCCAATTACCAAACTTCACCCTCCGCTCTACTTACTCCCGGCTCCAGCGTTTCTCCCCCGGCCGAGAAAACCGGCCCCCTACACCGACCCAAATCCCGGCCTCCCGGACGGAACTCAGCAACAACCTAGCCAGGGCTCTGCGGGTCTCCCGGCCTCGGTCAGCCCAGTGAGCAGCTGCGGGCGGAGGGAGCGCGACTTCCAGACGCCCGGTAGTAGGGGCGGGGCTTTATGGGGCGGGGCCTGAAAAGGGCCAATCAGCGGGCGAGACTTTGGCCGGGCCGCAATTGGCCCGCCCGGCGGGCTCCAACCTCTCCGGCCCCATTCGGTCCTTTGAGCCACTGCATCCCCTAGTGGCGCTAAGGCTGCTGCAACCGCCCGAACCAGCTGCCCCGGAGAGCAGGGTCAGGCGGGAAAAGAAGACTCCACCCAGGTCCACCCCAGAGCAAAGTATGCCAGGAAAAAGTGTGGGTTCCCCTGCTGGCCTTCTCACCGTCTGAGCTGAGAGGTTTAATTGGGTGGGACTATTTGGTCTATTTGAATTGAAGACCTGATTCCATCTTCAATTCTCTACCCTGTAAAATTTCCCATAAATACAAACAATCAGTTTAGAAGAGGTCATCCCCCAAAAGTAAGTCCTGAAGTATTCTTTTCAGGATGAAGGAAAAACATCAACATTCAGCTTCAATTTGGTGTATGGGGAATGCTCTGTTTAAACACAATCCTTATAGGAAGATTAGTAAAATTTGGAAGAGTGGGTCCTCGCGGTCTTGGATCTGGACCTTCTTTTGCATCCTCACCTTCTCAAACCTGATATTTGTTTGAAACCGGGGTTGAAATTCTAATATAGAACAGGAAGAAAATTTCTAAGTTAAAAAACACAAACCCTCTTGCCTTTCTTTGCGCCCACCTTGGTCTCCCGTTTATTAGGGCGGCCTAGTAAGGAGCATCGATTTTCCTTTCACTCTTGACCACTTGTCTCTCCTGGGCCAAACTGCCAGCATCTCTTCCAGCTCACGGCGCTTTCAAAACCTTTTAATTATTTAGTTGCTGTCTAACATTCACCGGAAACCACTCCATAAACAAGGAGAGAGAAYGCATACACATTTTTGCTAAAAGGCCCRGGATTAAGATGGAAGTTAAAAGAAAAAAGTGAAAAGAGCTTGTTTGCGAGTCAGTCAAGACGTGGGTGTCAAACAGCCTCAAGTTCGGAGTCTCTCAGAAAAGCCAAGTGTATCTTTGGTCCTGGGCACTGATACCGTGAAGCCCGATAAAGGGCAATAGGGAACCGACCTACACACACACACACACACACACACACACACACACACACACACACAGCTTCTCACAGCAGGACTTGAAATGCTAATTTCCGAGCCTACGGAAAATGTTAAAAGACAAAAAGGAAATTTTTGCAAGGAGGCCTTCCGGTGTAGGGGTTCTGCAGTGGGAGTGTGGGGGGTATTCGTTTTAATTTCATCACTAGCACCAAGTCGGACTGAACTGGGATGAAGAAGGGCAACCTCTTCCCCTTCCACATCCTTGGAAAAATAAAAGATCTCGAAGACCCTTCTAGGTCTAGATGGTGTGCGGCTGGCCGAGAATGGTGGGGGGCCTAGGGATGGATGCCCGGGGAAATGGAGCCAGCCTGTAGGGGGTATTTAACATGTAATTCCCAGCCGGTCCGCCCCTGTTCCCGGACTGACAGTGGGTAATTGGGAAAGAGGACGTTGCTCTTTTGATGGCCCGCGCCGGCCAGTCTCGCCGACGCCACACTGGGTTTGACGTCACGGGCCCAGCCCTAGAGTCAGGAGCACAGAACGGGGGGAGGGAAAAGGCGGGGAGGGGGATACCAGAGAGGGAGGGCCGAGGTCGGCCCGGGGACCCACGGGGAAGGAAGGGGGAAGGGAGCGAGACCGGAGAGGCTGCGGCGCGTGGCCTGAGGCAGAGAGCAAGGCTGCGGGGGTCTGGACCAGACCAGGCGCCGGCCTGACCCGCCTCGCCGGCAAAAGCAGGCCGGGCTTCCTCCTCCCCGGGCGGGCGGGGGAGGGGAGGGGGCTCAAAGCYGGGGGGAAGGAGGGAAAGGTGGTCCTGATTCTCTTGTTGCCAGAGCCCACAAAGCCGATCCCTGCCGCCTATGGAGACGCATCACAGCCCTCCTGTAGACCTGCCGAACCCCTCTCTCCAGGCACCCGGGCTCCGGCCAGGTCTAGAGAGTGTCCGGTCCTCCCGGAGAGCGGCCGGCGGAGCTCCGTTGGAGGAAAGAGGAGACGACCTAGGAGAACACTGCCGCTGCCGTTGCTGTAGGGTCCCTGGGTCCCGTAGTGCACGAGGCCTTCCTCACTAGGGTAAGGGGCTGGCGAACGGCCTGGATGCATGTAACCCAGCATCCTGGAGCCAAGCAGGCGACAGAGCATCCACCGCCCTCGGAAGAGCCTGGTCCTGGTGCGGTGCGTGAGTCGGCGGGAGCCAGGTTGTCCTATCTGAAACCCCAGGCCTCAAGGCGGCTGCTTTAGGCGTCAAGTTGAGCAGGGTATGTGTGCCCTCTTGGGGAAAGGGTAAGAAATGGAGTCTGACTATCTCTTCTTGGTTGGGGTAAACCGGGACACCCCCCACCAACACATGTCCATATGCAAGTTCCTCCCACCCGCCCTCTTAGGGGCSCAGAGACCCTGTCTGTGTGGAAGTGGAGAATCCCGGTCTCCCACAGAAGCGAAGGCCCAGGCGCAAGCAAGTGGAGCGGGTTCCGTGACCTCAGCCCTGAGGTTGCGGACCCCCAAAACGGAAATCCACGCAAACACCCGAGCCTGGCTACTGGCGCGTCCGGGCGAGCTCCGCGGGGCCGAGATGCGGGAAGAAACAGCCCAGGGGCGGGAGCGCTGCCCACCGAGGGTAATCGGCAGAGCCAAGCCTCGGGGTCGAAGTCCTAAAGTTACTAATCCCGCGCTGAGGTAGTGAGCGTGCCTCAGACCGCCCGGGGCGGTCATTTGAGCGTGTTTACTTAAGGACTTTGCAAGCCGAGCGCGCGCGAAATAGTCGGATTTCCAGCGAGGCAGCAAATATTTGCAGGAGGGAGAAAGAAGCGGAGCCGGGCCGCGCCGCCGCGTCCCTCCCCCTGGAGCCGCGGCGCCGGCTTGGGCGGACCCGACCGCGGTGTTAAAGACAGAAAAGAAGCCGGGAACCTGCTAGGCTGCGGAGTGGGGGGTGGGGGCGTGGGGGGCGGGGACAGCGCAGAGCGGTACCAAACACCAAAAACTGGAGCGCAGTCCTGGCCCTGGCGAGCCGGAGAGCTGGGGGAGCAGTCCCTGCCCATTCCAGCTCGATCAATCTTCCAGGCTACGATCAGTCAATAAAAATGGTGTGAAGCGGCCGTGGTCGCTGAGAGTCTGGAGAGGAAGTGGAGGCCAGAGGTGTTGAGGCCGGCGCCGGCGCCCCTCACCAGCCGGGTTCGCGGCCCCGCAGTCTGCAAACTCAGGCCCGGGCCCAGTGCTTTGCCAGGAACTGCGGGCGGCCTGGCGGGGCCTTTAATTGGGTGTCTCAATTTTAACAGTGTCCATTGTTGGAACAATTAGCAAGCAACAATAAGCACCAAGAGGCATTTTATTTGATTCCCTGTGCGGGCTGCMGCCAAAACCAGGGTGCTCGGGAAGATTGGCCAGGCTGCCTAGGAGGGAAGGTCTGGTTGGGGAGGTGCGGGTTCCTTTTTCCTGCCTGTTTTATCTCAGCCGTGGAAGTATAAAGAGGAGACTGGGGCAAGAGTAACCTGAGCCAGGCCACGCGGGAAGCCGGTCCCCAGCCTCGCTAGCTCTTGCCAGGAGCCCTTAAGACCGCAGTGCCTTCTGGCAGCGCGCKTCCCCGCTGCAGCCGCCGCGCGCGGATCCCCAAAGCCTGTTAGAGAAGAGCCAGGAAGACTGAACTGTGGAAGCCGATTTCCTTTCCCCTTTGCCTTGGATTCCCTCCTCGGTCACCCGAACCACGGCCGAATTTTCTTCCCTATGGGAGGGGGAGGAGCAAAGGAGAAACCCCTGCTCGTGGCGAGGTACACACCTCCCTCCTCACCGGAGCCGGTCTCACTGCCCCCCTCCTCCGACTTGGCCCCCGGATTAGGTTACCTTGGCCGGGCGAGGATTTTTACTGGATACGAGAATAGCACAGGTAAAGCTGTATAAACAGCTCTCCGGCTG